TTCATGTTCATAATTTCTGAAATCTTCTTGCTATGGTATCACAGATATTTCAGATATAGAAAAATCTTTGATGTTCTTTATCAGTAGCTGTCAATGTCATAAGGAAACCCTCACGAGGCAGAAGGATGACAAAAAGATGTACCACCTTTTTGATCCAAAGAATTAGTTTAGCCATACAGCATAGTAATTCAGCTTCTGTTTTTGGCACCATTCCATCGTCACATTCACTGGATGAAATTTTTCTTAATCCCGTAGCTTCCAAATCATATTTATACCCTAGTCACGATGAGAGATTGTTTCCTCATAAAATCTCCCATATTACTTGTGATACTTCCCATACGTTACCATCAGAAGATGCAGAGAAATATGAACAAGTTCTAAAATTATCTTCTTCCAAATTCAAATTTCTGCCATATCCAATTCAGTTTTAGGCAGTTCTGCTTCGAATTCCTTATCCCACCGATCCAATCATCGAATCCGTGATTACTCAGAAGAAGACAACAGTGGCGAACGTAGTATTAACACTTACAACATTAGATCAGTGATATATTCTTCAGTCAGAACCTTGGGTTTATTGGGTTGAAAAATATTGGAAACACCTGTTTCATGAACAGTGTAATCCAATGTTTATCAAACACGAGATGGTTGCTGGAATATTTAAAAAAGGATACATACATGGAAAATATCAATACTAGTATTTCTAGTATGAAAGGTGCTTTAATCAAAGGCGTTCCCAGAAGTTATCAAGGAATTGTGGTCAGAAGATTCATCTGAAAGAGTAATAAACACTGCCTTCTTTAAAAGTCGGATTCAAAGATTTGTCCCTGGATTCATGGGATCTGTCCCTGGATTCATGGGATCTGTCCATCAAGACGCCCAGGAATTCCTTCAATATCTTTAAGAAGGTTTACATGAGGACCTCAATAGAATTACTGAGAAACCCAAACCGATCTTAACGGAGATTGGCGAAAAATTGAGCGACAGCGGAAAAGCGCAAGAGTCCTGGCTGAGATATTTGAACATTAACAACCCTAAGATTGTAGACAATTTTGTAGGTCAATTAAAATCCACTATGAAGTGCACATTCTGTGGACACTCATCAGTAACCTTCGATCCTCTCTGGAATTTGTCTCTCCCCATACCACAAAGAAATGGCCAATAGAGTTTGTCACAATGCCTGGATTTCTTCACAAGAGAGGAAACTCTGGATGAAGATGAAAAACCAACGTGTTCGAGGTGCAAGGAAAGAAGAAAATGCACAAAGTTCCTATCAATCCATAAGTTTCCCCGTATTTTAGTAATTCATTTAAAAAGATTCTCTCCAACGGAAAGATTTAGAGGCAAATTGAATGTTGCCATTGACTTTTCTTTAGAAGGATTAGATGTGAGCAATTATGCAGCGGACAATGTTGCTTCTTGTCGTTACAATCTATAAGCACTTTCGAATCACAGTGGGACTACATTCAACGGGAATTACATGCATATTGCGACACCCTTATTGTGGCACGTGGCATGAATACAACAACTCACACGTGTCCCCAATTTCACCAAAATCGCTTGTGTGTGAGGAGGCATATGTCCTCTTTTATGAGCAGGAGAGAACAAAGCAGCTCTTTTGAGGAGTTTTTTTTTTTTTCTCTTTCCTTAAACTAAATTCTGTTAATTGATTTGTATTTCATGATTCTCATTGGAGAAATTGTAAAATTTTGCACAAAAAAGTTTCAATAGTTTTTGTCGTAGAAGTCACTGTTAGATTAATTTTCTTCATTAGATTAATTTTTAATACAACAATTGAGATAACTTTTGCCTTTTTGTTGAGGTCACAATTTCGAAGAAAATTGGCTTTCATTTCAAAATTAGCCAAATTCTATAAAAATTTACTTTTTTGTCATCACCATAGTAGGTAGGTAGGTAGGTAGGTCTAAAGTGAGTGGGTCTATTCGACCCTCCACAGCAACCCATAAGGGTTTATTGTAGCTCACACCTATTCACACTCTGCCAAATAAACCCAGCTTCTTAGCGAAGCCGATTAGTTTGTATGATGAGTGGTCTGATGAGTGGTCTGAGTGGTCAGATGGTGAGAGTACGGATCTGCCGAACTCAAAGAACCTGATTCGGTCCCCAGCGGGGCAGGCACAAAGTATATGCTCTGCAGTTTCATCATTTTCCAGACATAGGCGACACAAACTGTCTTCCGACACTCCAAGTCTCTGCATGTGATGATTCAAATGACAGTGACCTGTAAGAAGGAATGTTAGACATCGTAGTTCATCCCTACTGTAGTCCAACAACTGTTTGGAATCAAGCTTCGAAGGGTGAGCCAATCCTGGAAGATTCTGCCAGAAGTCCATAACTCTTCTTGCCATACAGGTATTAAGTGTTTGTTTGGCAAAGCCCAAAGCGATGCCAATGACAGGTTCTGGTCCAATGAAGTCGCTTGCAGCACCCTCCTTTGCAAGAGGGTCAGCAGCTTCATTGCCTTCCAGGCCAGTATGGCCAGGAATCAAAACCAGATACAATCTGTTTAGTCTTCCTATCGAGTAGAATCTTTTTTGGCACTTTGCTACCAATTTAGACGTTGCTCGGTAGGAGCCAAGAGCTTCCAACGCCGCTTAATTGACTTGTGAGTGAGGTTGGATTTATCCAATCTCTGTCCTGGGTCTGCGACTGAAAACACCTGCACCAGAACCGGAAGGTGTTCTTGATCCAACTGTGAACCAACAACTATCCGCTCTTAATATTTCCTTCTCCCCATCACCATAGTAGTTCCGCTTCCTAGGAGCGAATTGATAATAATTAACCTTTGGATAAATTCTGCGGGAATAGAGGAGACCACTTATTCTGGCTCTGTGCCTAACTTTAATTGAAGTCTATTTTTTTTAATGAATAACAAGTAGGCTTCAAACAATTTTCTGTATTCAAGTGTACTATTTTTACATAATAATTAATTCTTAAATTCAGCTAAATTCAAGTAGTACTTTTTTGTTTTTGAGATGGATGAATTCACTGATATCTTTATAATTCATTTCTTTCAGACATTACTGATAAACTTATCAGTCTCTCTGGCAATGTAGTGTCCTGTTGTGAACCAGAACATCTGGAGAGGGAACTGAAATACCTTGAAGTGACCTTGAGATCGAATGGATACAGTGCCTCCGAGACCAGAAAAGCCATGAAACCGAAGGGCACCACAGTTCAGAAAGCGAAAAAGGATCAAATGGTTGCACGCGCATATCTACCGTTTATCTCTAGGGTCACGGACAGAATTGGAAAACTATTGGGCAAACACAACATCAAAACAGTCTTCAAACTCACGAGGAAGATACAACAAAGCCTCAGGTCGGCTAAATACAAAAGAGACCCATTATCAGCAGCAGGGGTCTATCGCATACCGTGCACTTGTGGAAGGTATATATCGGAACCAGCAAACGATCCATGGGAACAAGACTAAAAGAGCATAAAAGGAACTGCAGACTAGACCAAACGGACAAGTCAGCTGTGGCAGAACTCGCACTTAGTGAAGGAGACCACATAATTTTGTTTGAAAACACAGAATTAATTGCCCCCAACCAGGGATACCATAGCCGACTGGTACGGGAGGCAATAGAGATCCACAAACTCACGGAGAGTTTCAACAGAAAAGAAGAAGCGGTGAACCTCAATCGAATATGAAACCCCATTTTAAGGAATTCTAGAATAGCGAAAAGGACAACAGGCAGCAAGATTGATAATGTTCCAGGTTCAAGTGCAGGTACGAGTGCAGGTACATATACAGGTACAAATACAACTGATTACCTGACAAGGCATAAATACGCTTTACAAAGCCTAATAGGAAGTCATCGGACAGCAAGCCATGATGGTTAAACCTCTGAAGAGGCTAGCCACTCGCGCCAGCGAAACGTCAGGAAGTAATTCCAAAAATCCACGGCTTTCAAACTCGAAAAGCAATGACACTGACTATGTATATACTTAAAATACTAGAATGAGTTTCTACATTTCCACTAAGAACCAAATATTCTCAGGAAGCTATGAGACATTAACTTAAACTTTGGGGTAATTTCTTGAATTTTCATGATGTTTGTCTCACATGTAACCTCGTGTCGTATACATCCCCCTTGGGGTTTCATTCGATGCAAGGCACTGAGTTCGAGCTCAACGTGCCCACTGTGCAAGATGAGACTGCCTAAAGGTATATTATTTGACATATAACGTGTAACAAACAAGATAGGAAATTAACTTTTTATCTTACTATTGACTATAGTTTTGGAGATATGAACAAGGTTTTTGTACCTGTGACTGAATAAAAAATGCTCCTTCTATATGCTAGGACTCACCATAAGACGATACCTGAAGGTCGTTTTTCAGGATTAAATTAGGTTTTAGAATAACATCAGCAGGCTGCAATTTATTCATCAGATAGGTTTTAAAATTCTGGAGTAAATTCATTTCTAGTTCTAAGAAAATTGTATATTTAAGACAATCGCAAAAATCAAGGTCAATTTGAAATTCCAAAATAAAGCTAGTTCAGCCAAATATCTTTAAAAGTTATCATAATTTGAATATCAAATGAATTAATCCAATCTCTGAGTTCAAATTGTGCAATCTCTCAGTGCAAGTACAGTGTACAGTAGAATGTAGTTTTCAAATAATTTGTAGTATTTTTAAAAAGTTGTAATAACTGTTCTAAGTGTTAAATACTTATTATGCCAATAGAAATAGACTTGAAGAGATTCCAAAAACTACTCTGTAGAAACCAGATGAATTTTGGAAATAAGTCGTTACGACATTATTACATTTCTTGAAATAGTGTTTTCAGGTCTGCCTTATAGATCTCAGTTTGTTTTTCAGGGGTTTTGATAAGATGTGATCGAGGGATGAGAATTTGATTTCTAAATATATATGTTGATGATTCGAACAATTTTCTCCATCAGATATATTCTATATGTTAGTTTTTCATTCACGACAATTTTTTTAAATATTCATAATGACGATATTTCCAGGCAAAAGAAAAATAAGAAGAATCAACAGCCTTAACCAACTTGAGCAACATTTTGTCCTGATAGAGTGTTATTCATTTGTGGAAAATGACTAAACAGAATTCAATTTTGAGATTGTACAGAATACCAGGATGTACTAATGCAAAACAAAATGAAATTTTGAAAAAGTTGAAAGAGAAATGTTCAACAATAATAAATATTGATACAGAAATATGTTTTAATATTGAAGTATCCAATTCACTAGATGAAAGAGAAAAACAGAAACTCAAATGGGTTTTGCAAGACTCGCTTCATCCTGAAAATGTATTCAGTAGTAGTCAACTGGAAGCCAAAGAGTTTGATATTCTCATAGAAGTAGGACCAAGATTTAATTTTTCAACGCCAAATTCTACCAACGCTGTGTCCATATGTCATGGTCTTGGACTGAAACAAATTAAACGTTTAGAAGTATCTAGAAGGTATCTTCTGAAATCAAGTGAAGGAGTATCTCATGAAACCGAGAATAATATCGCAACCGTGCTTTTTGATCGAATGACTGAATGCCGTTACACTGCTGAAAATATTCCGAAGTTGAGTTTCAATGAAAATCTAATAAAAAAGGAAGATATTAGAGAAATTGATGTACTAAATAAGGGTGTAGAGGCCCTTAAAGAAATCGACAGAGAATTGGGATTGGCTTTTGATGAAGCTGACTTACAATATTATATGAATCTATTTAAAAATGTCATGAAGAGAAATCCTACGAATGTTGAATGTTTTGATTTGGCTCAGTCCAACAGTGAACATAGCAGACACTGGTTTTTCAAAGGCAAAATGGTTATTGATGGTGTAGAATTTAAAGAATCTCTCATTGACATGATTGTAAATACACAAAAAACATCTAATCCTAATAATGTTATCAAGTTTGCTGATAACAGTAGGTAAGTAAAAACTTAACTTGCTTAATTTTCAATTGATTTTCTTTATATTCTTTAAATTCCCCATTATTTTAGTGCCATAAAAGGATATAATCACACAAGCTTAAGACCAGTTTCTTCTGGATCTGTGAGTGAACTTAAAGAATTACCTACTGAATCTCATCTCATTTTTACTGCGGAGACACATAATTTTCCCACTGGTGTAGCTCCTTTCAGTGGTGCTACAACTGGAACTGGTGGGCGTATTAGAGATGTACAGTCGGTTGGCAGGGGTGGCTATTGCATTGCTGGTACCGCTGGATATTCAGTTGGGAATCTTCAAATTCCAGGTAATATATGCTGCATTTTTCAAATACATACCAAACTTCCAATTGCTTCTTGTATTCGGGTAAACTTCTTGTTTATTTTGTATGCATGATAATCTTTTGTAAAAAAAATACTTGTTTTATATTCCCTAGGTGATTCTAGTAAGTGTCGAAATATCTGAACTTCACAATTATAAAATAAGAGTTTACATGTTTCATGTACAATGAGGCTTCACTTTTTTCCTATGTATTTGACATTGATAGGTAGGATATGATGTAATTCAATTCCATTATCCAGTATAGGAATTAGATATATTGTGTAAATTTCAGGTTCTACAACAAGTATTCTCGAAACATTTACAACTTTTGAATTTGTTTGAAAAATTAAAAACTTCAACTTCAATTATTTCAAGATATTTAGCTATTGAGCTGAATTTGGTTTTCAATGTAGTTAGTTATGAATACACTGACCCGTTACTTTTTGGGGACAACCTATTCAAGATATGCCCAAGGTGAAATTGAAGGTCATGTTATATTCTGTTCAAGCATTGTTAAAATATGGAATTTTACACTTATTTTTTTTATAGACTTGCGGCAATCGATAAGATTGATTTTCTGTTATTTGTATCAATTTTGAGTTTTATTTCATTTGTGAAAATTAATGTAGCACCTTCTAAATAACAAATGTTCAAACATGCATTTTCTATCAACTCTTTTTCTGCATCGTTTGGATGTTCATGTCTGAGGTTGTTTTTTATTTCATTTTCATGCTTCATATTCTTTCAGGCTTTCATTGAAATATGCCAATAATATATTTTTGTTAGAATCTTGAATTGGTCCTAATTTCAATTTTTTTTTATCAGAAAATCTGTTGTTTTTGAAAATGCTTTCGCATTTAAAAAAACGCGTTTCCACTTGTTTGCATTAGTGCGATTGGAAGTATCACTTTTCTTCTTTGGAATCAAGCAGTATTGCTTCGCTTTAAAATTTGAACTATACTTGTTTCCACTTGTTTGCATTAGTGTGATTGGAAGTATTACTTCTCTTCTTTGGAATGAAGCAGTATTGCTTCCCTTTAAAATTTGAACTCAGTTTGAAAACTTCCTTTAGTTGAGGTAACATTCTCGGGTTTTGGAAAGTCTTCTTGATCACATAAAAACGTATTTAAAGATGCATACTTTATATTTCAATTTCGAAAATTATCGTCTATAACCATAATAACATTACTCAAATAACAAGGCTTTCACTTTATTTCAAAATATGTTATAACTTCCTACTTGTTGTATGTTTCTGGTAGTTTATTATAAAATGTAAGGGCGTTGTAAGATGGAGACTTTTAATAGTAAGTCATTCTGTGTTTCAGGAATCCCTAATTAATGATCATATCTGGTATTGTGTTCGTGTTCTGCAGAGTTATTCTGATAGTTAACTAGTTTAGTGATCCAATAATTTTTCTGAAAAAGGGGGTTGGTTGGGTAACAGGATCAATTTTTTCTTAAAAAAACAATTGTATTCTTGCCGACGTTTCGAATTTAATTAAATTCTTCTTCAGGACTCCGTAACAATGAATTTTCATGAATATACCTTCCACAAAACTCATTTCAATTTCACAAGAAATAATGAGTTTTCATTTAAATTACTATTTCAAAAATCATCAGACATATTCTGTTTCCCAGTAAATATTACTGGGAAACAAAAACTTTTAAAAGGTTTTCGTTCAGACCACACCACAATATTTAGGTTAATATTACCACAGAGCATAATGAATGCTCAACAAGCCTTCTGTATTTTAGTTTGATAGCGAAATTGGCTGCACTTAAATTTGGACACGTTCAATATATCTGTTCCATTTAAGATCCTAATCGAAATGAGTTTGATATTTTTTTTTAATTTGTGTCATCAAATTACCTTCATGAGTTTTGTTTCTGTAGAAAAATCATAAGAAAAATTTTGAATATTTTATGGATTATGGTATGTCCTATAATTTATTGAATATCACAAAATTTTATCAATTCAACAACTCATTAAACTCAGAGTTCATTAATTGATCATAACTTTCAATATCATTTCTAGATTATCAAGACTATAAAAAGATGAAGGTCATTAAGAAATCTTCAGGGGGTCATTATTTGTATTAGAACATGAGAATATATTTTTGCTAAGATTGAGTAATATATTGACTTTTGACCTTGTGTTTGATGCTTGATAACTGTATTTCGTACACCAACTGTTTAGCAATTGTTACTGTTTCACTTATTTTCGTCTCAGTATTAGTCAGTAAGTTTTGAAAATGATTTTTTACGATAAATTTGACGTTACATTCATAAAAAAACAAACAATAATCACTATGTTTCCGCGGAAATTCAACATATTCAAAATAGAAGTTGAGAAATTAACAATAGAAGGCTCTTAACTGCCAACAAATAAATTTTCATCTAAAACATTTCAAATCAAATCATCCAGAAAAGTTGATAATGAAACTCATCAATAATATATCAGAAAATGTAGTCAATGATAACTTCCGACTGACTACTTAAAAATAAATTGGAAACGAAACTCTAAAATTCTGTAATATATTGTACGCCGAATGTTCTTTTACAGAAATAAATTTTATTTGAATATGAAATTATTCAAAAAATAATAATAATGTAAAGAAAGACCATACACCAATATTGAAGAGCTTGAAGCATTGATGACATGCAGAAATATTCCTGCAATGGGGTTGCAATCTGGTTTATATGAATTTTATAGGTGAACAATTAGATGCATCAAACGAGAAGGTGGAAATAGTGAAACACTTCGATATTTTTTTTGTTTTTGTTCAATTGTCTAGATTGTGTGATAGTTTTGGTATGTTTACTTACTCAACATCTTGTCTATTTCAAGCATCTTCTTGAAATTTTGAAATAAAAATTTTATACTTCATTTCAGAGATTTTTCACATGCACATCATCATAAGTAATTGCGAAATTTTAGAATGCTGTTAATTATCATTGCAACAAAAATAAAGTTGACTGTTATAAATCCAATTATTGGGGTCGCGAGTAGAAAAAAGCAATGCATTTATTAGCCTAATATAGAAAACATTTTCTTTTCTAAAATTTCTGTGAGGGGTATATTGAATAAAGTTTGTCTATTTTAATTCCGTTCAAAAATCTAATCATTTCATCCTTCTATTTTTCCTTTCATTTCTTATATTTTATTTGATTAATTGTCTTATATCCATATTTCTAAATATAAATTATATAAATTGAACTAATTTTCATTCAAAGACTGTTGGTAATTGATTAATAACTTTGACAAGGCTTTGTCAATGATTTATACAAAATATTTATAAAATGTGAAATACTTTATTTGTTTTGAAAACCGCATATCAAATTCAAGTTGCTTATTCAATTGGTGAAGAATGCTAATTAATATGTCTCTGATTTTCAGCTATAAAATCTACTCAAAGTAATTTTAATTTATGAATATTTCAGGATATACTTTCCCTTGGGAGAACGAATCATACATTTATCCTGACAACTTCGCACCACCACTAGAAATTTTAATTGAGGCAAGCAATGGGGCTTCTGATTATGGCAATAAATTTGGTGAACCACTCATTTGTGGATTTGTAAGATCATTTGGGTTGAACGATGCCTCAGGAAATAGAAGAGAGTGGATCAAACCAATCATGTTTAGTGGTGGTATTGGTAGTATGGAGGCAGCTATGACCGAAAAATTGAAGCCTGAAATAGGTCACCATATAATAAAGATTGGGGGACCAGTTTATCGAATTGGTGTGGGAGGAGGATCAGCTAGTTCTGTTGAAGTTCAAGGGGATAATAAGATAGAGTTAGATTTTAATGCTGTTCAGAGAGGTACGTTTGATATATTTTGAACTAGTATTTGATTAATTGAAACATCTTCTGATCATTCAATTTTTAGAGTTTCTACTAGCAGTACTATTTGAAATTTAATCTTCAAAATAGTTTTTATTACTTGTCATACCTACTACAAAGGGGAAACAAATCTTGATAAAAAGTGAAATAATCTATGATTGATTATATACGACTGAATGTATCATCTCGGAATCTCTCCAGGTTTAAACTATGTGTTATAGTATGATCCCCATTATAACTCCTAACTTCATATTTATATAACCTATATAACAGTTAGGCTAAGCAACACTAGTATAATAATCATAATAACCTAGTTACTGTTTTAAGACAATAAAAAATTCGAGGACTGCCTTTCAATATCAAAGGACAAAAAAGATATAAGCAGTGTGAACAAAAATAAATAATGATACATTTGTCATGGGTTCGTAAAATAGTTAAAGCCGTTACAATAAATTAAAATAGTACTATTTTACTTTTTAAACTATTCAGTATTCTGTCACATTCTTTAATATACTGTATGTGACTGTTTTTTATTTAATATTCGAATTACATTGTCTCAACTATACTGGATCTTCAGAAATATGATGATGATAATTTACTTTATTGTGCATGAAATAAATCATGATTACAAAGTTCAAATGGTACAGAAAAATTTACAATGTCAAGTATATAATGTAAAATATAAGAAAGTACAAATTGAAATGAATATTATAATAATTGTGTAAAAATCTAAAACCTTTTAAAAATTTTAACAAAATTGAAAGATCAATAGAATCTTCAAGTATTTCTTCCTCCAAGATTGAAACAGACATTTTCTACATTCACTGCTTCTTTAAATTCAGTAAGGAATTCTTCTTTCTTCGTTTCTTCAGGTTAGTGGGTTCAATTTTTTACCTACCTATATGTTTTATCAACCCTTTAAGAATATATAATGCTTCTACAGTTAATATTTTATGGGGCATTATATTGGGATTTCATACCTCAAGTGTGTTTCAAATAAAGAGTGGTATACCATTTTAGTAGTAGAAAACCCTAATACCATTTCAACTGTATAGCAACCAGAAGACAACCTTTTTCAGTATTGTTGAATATTTACCAAATTTGAGTTTGTCGTCAATACAGATTCAATTCCATTCATTATGGAATTGAAACAGATATCATTCATAGGAACACTAGTCAATGTGATATCTGAAAGAGTATTGATAAAAAATGTCATTTACACAAAACCCTGTCATGGTTGTTCCTGGAGTTTCAGGACAAGACACAATTTTTGTTCTACTGAAGAAGTAGAAAGTAAAAAAGCATTTTTTCTAAAAAACGATTCTCTCCTAAAAATATTTCCATTTTCAACATGAGTTTATATTAAAACCAATTGGGCCTTTTACACAGAAGTCGGATTCTGTGAAAAAGTAATGGTTGAATCATTTCGTGAAGGCTAGTAAATTATTGTGATTTTTCAACACAAAAAAAATAATTATATCTAATATATTTTTTCTATGTTAACCAACTTCATATACCTATCCATAAAATTAATAATTCACATTGACCTGTATTAGTCACTTTGGATTGTGGTCTCAATCTCCTGTATGTAATATGAAATATAATAATGAAAATGTTGAATATACGTTTTTCATAACAAATTTGTACATTGGTGGATTTTCTCACCAAATATAACTACTTATGCTACAGAGGAACTATAATTTATATCTCTTTACATCATTCAATAAAAAATTACATTAACAAAAAATTCAATAAGGACGCGAAAAATAGTTTGATGTTCAGAAAATGTGTGTAGTACCAGAAATTGATTTTTATGTGTGTAAGTAATGTGTAAATTTATATATTTTGATGTCATATCAACTAGTGTAAATGTTATGTTGAAAACTTGTTATACTGTACTTTCATAATTTGTCTTGAAGCTTGAATTTTTTTTTGTTACATAATTGTTATCGTTGAACCTCAATGGAATGTATATTATTCTGGTTCGAAAACTTCTATCTGTCAAAGGTATTACCTATAAGTACTGAAAATACATTGCTTCGCCAGAAATAAATTGTATTTTCAGTTAAACGATGTCATATGAAAACTCAAGTATAGTACATTCTTTTGTCGTCTTGAAATCAGGGTGTACAACTTAAAAATGAACTTTCGCCATTTTTGTAGATAACTTCTGTAAGTCTGAAACTGTTTGTGGTTTTGAGTTTCAAGGCTGTCATCTGCAACATGTCAGGAAGAAATCCCATCCTCTGAAATTTTTTATTAGATATTAGATAACTCATACCTCATTTCAGTAAAAGTATCTTCAGTCAGACGGTGCTTCCATAACATCACATCCATAAATTCAAATATTTGCCTTTATTTTCTACTTTACCTGACTAATAATAGCTATTTTTCTAATTAGGTTTAGAGATCCAGTAGATTTCTTACATGCTGTGTTTTCATATATCTTCAAACCTATTATTCGACCATAATGAAGCTCAAACCATCTGAAACCCTTTTCATTAATTTTGTATCAACACTTTCACTGCAAAATTTGAAAATTACTTGCCGTTTGGTTCAAGTTAAGGAGAAGAACTTTATTTGAAATAGGTTAACCCTAATATACAAACAATAATACTCAATAAAATAAAACAAAAAAACAGTGAAATTATAACTAATAAAAAGTATACTTAAGTATATAAACAAATACTACTATATATAGCATTTACTTAATTTGGTCCTCTTGAAATAATAAACTTATGAAATATGAAGATATAACATACTATTAAAGATAGATATGATAAACAAATGAGACAAGACAACATTGTGCTATAGATAATATCCAAAAATGACTTATCTGCTTTTAATCTTTTTTTAACTTAAACGATGCTACTAAACGACTTGATTCAATTTCATTTGGACAATTTTTTATCAATTTATTAGATTTTCAGCTATGTATTACAATACAGGTCTGTATTGAAACAAAAGTTGATGATGAAATCTAATAAACAAAACGTCGCATTGCAAATTGGTGTATAACAAACATGGAACAGTATTGAAAGTTCCTCTGCCTTTTTTATCATTTGAAATAGGGGTGATGAGCCAAAAAACGAAATTCGACAACCACTGATATTCTCGATCTGAAAAAAGATTTGTCTAGTTTTTCAAAATTAGAAACTTTTGTCTCAACATACTTTGTCTGTTGTCTTTTCAACTTATGTACTATTGTATCATGAAGACCAATAAAATCTTATCTTATCAATTCAACCAACCTTGAAGGTCTTACCAGATAGCAGTAGTGAAATCAGCTGAAAAAACGGCCTGTATGAAGTAAATTATATAACTTTACTATGAATAAAAATTACAACAAATTTATAAATATGCTAAAGATGAATGACCTGGGACCTAAAGCAGATAACCAGCTATGAAATACCCACACTTCAATCAATGAGATTTATGAAGAATTTCATTAGTTCGGACTTCCATTGTCTGATACTATATAAAATGATTTAAATCCCTGAAAGAACTAAAAAAGAAGAATTAAAATGAATAGCTGAAAATTCTGCGATTCCAAGAAATGCATTTACCGGATACCCTGTGAGTGCGGAAAATCCTATATTGGTGAAACTAAAAGGCCATTGAATGTTCGCATTGTCGAGCACAAGAAACACACACAGCGAGGGGAAACCAGCCAATCAGGAATAGCAGAGCATGTTTGGACCTATCATCGTAACATCGAGTGGTCTCAAGCTGAGATCATACAGAGAGAAGAACATTGGTTTAGGAGGAAATTCAAAGAAGCCGCATACATGTTGTCCAACAACGTATTCAGCCAAGCTAGCATAAATATACGCAATATATGGAATGCTAGTAATTCAATTTAGATTTTTTATAGAAAGGATTTATTATTGTGGGCATTCATTTTCTCAAATTTGCAGTTTCCTTTTCTCCCTTTCTCTCTATCACATTCGTTATAAGTTCCTAAATGTGGAAACATTTCTCAATATTAATTGTAAACTCAGATATGTTATACCTATTTTCAAAGGAGGGAATTCATCAAAACTAGTAGTCCACATTCAAGTTGAATGTGATACCATAGCTATTTGAGAATATAATAACAGATTCAACCAAAATTGTTTCCAACACCATTATTTAACAGCAATATGTATTCCAATCTGAAAAATCAACAAAACTCGACCTAGTGAACTATGTAGATTACTTGTCGGAGGCCATGGAGACGGGTTGGCAGGTGGGTTCAACCTACATGAACTTTTCCAAGGTGTTCGACGAGGTCAATCATTAGCTAATAGTCTCTAATGCTCAGTGTACTGCGCCTATCTGGATCTTTCTTGGGTTAAATCAGAGATTACCTGATTGGAATATTTCAGACAACTTATTGCCCACATAAATAACAGTGACGTCGAGTGTTCCACAAGGCCTCCATTTTTAACATATTCATAAACGACAAGGTCTTATTCCTCTGGTATGATTCTCCTATTTGAAAAAGATCTCAAATTACTTGCTAAGATCATCTTTCATGACGATGCCTGTAATCTCCAGAATGATCTGAATGCCATTGCAAGCTGATACTGATGAAATGGTATGATCATGAATATTGAAAAATGTCATCTTATGAGATTGTACCATTGTAAAATGCCATTTATCTTTGAAGAATCTTTTAAGATTTGAGTGTTATCTCTGAAACAAACCTGAGTTTCAACTTTCATTTTTCATATATTATAAAGAAGGCTTGGACATTTTTGAGATTCATCAATGAGTAACTGCTAATTTTACAAATATAAACTATTTGAAAGCATTGTATAGTGCCTCAGTAAGATCATACCTCGAATAGTGCTCACTCATATGCAATCCATTCTACAATATCCACTCTCTAAATATTGAACTGGTTTAGCCCGAATTTTTGAACTTTCCCAATTTCTACTTCAATTACCAGTATTGTGAACAGTTCACCAATCTGTCCTCTCCCTAAGGAAGAGACATAGATATTTATCGTTTCTCACAAATTGATTGATAAAAAGTGATAAAAAAACAGTCCTACTTTAACATCGAAAATATGTTTCAAAGTGCCATCAGACTACATTAAACTTTTCATATCCAATTCCATAGAACCAACTATGGTTACAGCATTTGTCTTTGACGTATCCAAAGACCAGCAAATGAATTCCCTCATAATAATTGTTTTACCTAAAATATATCCGAATTCAAAGCTCAGATCAAATAGCATGTCACTCAACCATCTCATCACTTGACATATCTTTAGGGATAACTTAACTTATTTGGCACGAATATAAATGATTCTATATTGTTGTTCATATATACCGAAACAGGTTATAATAAATAAAAAACTTGGTAGAAATCAGACAAAAGTTATTTTCTTTATCCTAAATTCACCTCAATATTTATTATTTTTTTATCACTGTTGGTATTGAGAAATTGTATATTGTTTTTTTGTATAGTATTTTACCAAACTATGTGTGGGAATCCCTATTGTATTTGATTATTCCCTTATTGATTGAAAAAATATTTTCAGGTGATGCAGAAATGGAGCAAAAACTGAATAGGGTTGTGAGAGCTTGTTTGGAATCAGGAAATAACAACCCAATTGTGAGCATACATGATCAAGGAGCTGGAGGAAATGGAAATGTATTGAAAGAATTAGTTGAACCTGTTGGAGGTATTATTTATGCAAATAGATTTGAATTAGGTGATCCAACGATAAATATTTTGGAAATATGGGGAGCTGAGTACCAAGAAAATAACGCTCTCTTATGCAAAGAAAAAGATTTGGACTTTCTGAAAAATATTTGTAAAAGGGAAAGATGCCCTATTAATATTGTCGGAACAGTGACTGGAACCGGAAAAGTTGCACTAGCAGTTGATGAAAGTGAATCTCAGATTCCCTTCAATTTGGATCTAGAACATGTTTTAGGTAAGAAATGGATTCAACTGATTCTTGTTTTCAATTATTTCACAAGTACCAACATATTTAAAAATACAAAAAAACCTAAAAAGTAATATCACACCATATCTATCAATTATACTTAAAGAATGTTATTGAATTTATTCTTGAATAAAGAGAAATTGATATTTGGATCAATCTTACCGAAGAGTGTAAAATATCCAAAAATTACTAATACAGTTCACTGTATGATAATACTAATTATCTTTAGCAAATCCAAGAAATGAGAATGTATATAACAGGGATAAAATTACAAATAGGCAACATATATTTTAACGCCTAAATCAAATACTGATTTCTCCTCAAATTTTGAGCGATATGATTTAACTAATAGTTGTTTTGTTTGTCTTTCACGATTTTGAAAATTCCCTACTTTCCAATAAATAAACATTTAGTTCCTTAGGGTCGAATGTTTCAACATTGTTACTATCATCTTCATCATCATCAGAACTGTAGTATATATCTCCGTCAAATTCAAGTTCATTCAATGATTTTCCTCGAAAGTATTTTCCTTTTCATTTCTCAAGTAATAATAGAACCTCCACTACCTTCGTAGTCTGATATATGTCGTGGCGCAATCTAAAAGGATCACATAAAATAAATTGATAAACTATTGCTAGATACTATCAAAGCTGAATACAAAAATTTAGGTTTGTACGATATGTGAAAACCTCACTGAAAATATGTGATGAAACACTTTATTGTGAGATTTTCACTAAACAAAAAATATAATACATATTTCACTAAACCCGCAATAGCTTCTTCAGTCGTATGAGTATAGACACGCCAAAACTGCACCTCCATTATTTACAATTTTAATTAAACTCCGAAAATAGGGCTCTGCACCGCCATTACGGTACACCACATAAAATATTTTTACAGTATCAAATATAAATTTCAAGATAAGGCTGCTATCTATCTGAACACTTCATTAATTGAAGTCTCGTTCGAAGAAATAAACTACCTTGATTTTCCAAAAAATTATACAACGTTAACTAGCAAAGTTTTTTCCGAATTTTTCACAAATGGTAATATAAAAAGTTCAAATAATGGGTTCAAAAAAGTAGTTGCTTCTTGGACCCATTTTAATCAATATTTATTTGAGATCATAAAATGAAAGTTTATAAAATGAATGTATTTTGCTTATTATGATTTTTTTTAAAGTTGATAATTATTTAAATATTTGAAAATTGATGTGGATTTTTCTTTATTTTATATTATCATTGTTTTCACAGCTAGCAACACTGGTATAGTCTAAACGAAGTCAATCCGAACAACTAAATAAAAGACTAAAGTACCGGGTCTGATAAATGTACTAGTTAATACCATATAAAACCTCCCACATAAAAATAAAGATTAGACTACTTATTATACCACGCCGCCCATACCATACAAAGAAACTGCCGACGTTCGGTAACTATTTAGTTTTATGCCATTCCAATTGTCTTCGAATATACTATAATTGATGCTAAGTACATTTATTTACATTATTCATTTTAGTATATTAGTTGTGAAAGTAATGATTTGAAAAATATTCTGATTATAATTTTCACATCGGGAAACAAAAGGCTTGGTTTTTTACTTCTCCATCATCATTCAAATAAATGTGGGAAACTAATGTTATAATATAATGTGATTATAACATAATAATATATTTCAATTGAAAACGTTAATTGGCTTTTCTCAACATGGTTACAATTTTTTCATAATCAAATCAATTGTTTGTTGAGTTGAACATGTTGGACAAAATATTTAATATATTAACAATGAGTTGAAAACCCAGGAAGAACAATTGCTTTCACTTCCAGGTTGGTAATAAATAATGAGCTGGCATAATAAATGGAAGATAAACTACAATTGAACCATCTGGAAGATTAAACCAGCAACAATTTCTTCAATTTTTGCTATCAGGCAGCCTTACTTGAATTGAATAAGTATCTTTAAATTTGCGCAGAAATATGTGGATTACGTAAAGGATGGCTAAATCCTATTTTGCCCATCAAGTACGTAAAAACGTTAATTTCCAACAAATTCCTACGAAAGAAGATGAAAGGAAGGGTGAAGGGTCGGAAGAATCTCTTGGACACCGTGGTTTCCGGATCTGAATCCTCTTCATTTTTCCTTTACACTACATTAACAAGCAATAATAAAATATAATGTTTATCAAAAGTTGCGGGAACAAATTATTCATTGGATGCAAGAAACAATGAAAAAATCGTTCAGCATTTTTAAATCCCCAAGGAAACTTCATTCGATGATACAGGCTAAGCAGCAGAGCTGAAAAAGCATTTCTGGCTTCCATTGTCATTATTATGTTTAATTGTATGATGTTCTTTTTTTACTTGAGTTCTTATTAACCAACATTTTCTATTGTTACAATCTATCTGAATATTCCAGGTTAGAAATGAAAAAAAATTGACTGTTGTTTCGGAATAGTCCCTCAANTCAGATTTGCTATTCGACGTTTCGTCTTCCGGCCACATCATCAACTTTATTTTTTATTATAGACGCTACATTGGATTCATTCTGTTTTGAATAAAACCATATTTTACCTTTTCAATGATGGATCATAAGATATCATTCTTTTTCAAAAAATTGGAGATATTGAAAAAAAATTCTTATCATAATAGGCTTTGACTTCAATGTTTCTAGATTTGACTTTCAATTTGTCACACTCAATGACATTTTGTTATTGTACAAGTCATTGAATTTTTGGTGAAAAATGGCTTTCACGACTGAAGGAAGGAAAGATATGATACACATCTATTACTAATACGATGTAAACAGTGTTAGGACATCGGAAATGTGTTTAAACTCGTATCCCGAAAGACGACAACCAAATCGAACGTTCAAATTATTTGATCAAAATCTTCGAGTTTGGTTCACTTGAAAAGAAGAGGAAAAAATACGGAGGCAGAATCAACAATGAAAATTCGATAAATGAGGTGTGTATCAGGTAAATTAGACATTGTGTATTTTCAAATGGAAATATAACTTTGAACAAGTAACAATAATCAACTAAAATATAAAGACAAAAGTAAATCACAGTAAATGCTCAAAATGCTGGCCTTGTTCAAGATAACACAATTGTACCCTTCTTTGAATATTATTCACTACACAATCAATTTCCCTCCTCAATCTTCCGAACTCTCTAATAATGCCGTGTTGAAGGTCCTCCATATTTTTATATTTAAGTGTACCCTAGAATACATTTCCGATGTCCTAACACTGTTTCTATCGTATATGTAATAAATTTGTATCATATTTTCCTTCATTCGTGAAAGCCATTTATCGCCAAGAATTCAATGACTTGTACAATAATAAAATGTTATTGAGTGTAACAAAATGAAAGTCAAATTTATAGAAACATCAAAGTAAAAGACTATTGTGATAAGATTTTTTTTTCAATATCTCCAATTGTTCGAATAAGAATGATAACTTATGATACGTCATTGAAAAGGTAAAATCTGATTGTATTCAAAACAGGAAGAATCCAATGTAGCGGTCATAAGAAAAAATAAAGTTGATGATGCTGGCCGGAAGACGAAACGACGGATAGCAAATCTGAAAACACCATTATGTAGCAGGGAAAAAGTGGAGATGTGGAATTGCAATTTACTTTCGAATCCTTCGAAAAATAAAGCCAGAAAAAATGAAAACCAGTTTCCGAAATTTCTGTTTTTCCTGATGTCTCCGCATAAACTGGGAATTTCACAACTTTCTCAACGGCATTTGTTAGTCAGGTAAATGCGCAACTTTGCTCCAATTCAACCATCTTTGTATCTTTCATAATTTTCGAGATCCCAATGGTGAGGATCGAATTTGAAACACCCTGTATAAATAAATATCAAAAATTATTCATTCAAAAAAAGTGCACCGGATACAAAAACTATAATGAAGATACCATAACATGCAGAAATTATAAAAAAGTTGTTTTGGGTGAACTCAGCAATTAAATATCAAAATAGATTTCAATAGATAAAATTTGAGGATATTCATCATGATTTTTTTTCTGTCGTACATATAAAATATTCATTGCCACATTAAACAATCGAAACGATTTTCTAATATTTTTTATTCTCATCAACAACAAAATACAGGGAATAACTATGACTTCATAGCTTCACCTTGACTCTCGAAGATATAAATCGTGCAATAAGTAATTCATTTAACACCAACTTGATTGTGTATATAATTATCTGCATCATCGTGATTATATNTGCATTCAAAAAGTTTTACTGAACTAGTAAGATTACGTAGCTTCTTGGATAACATAAGGTTATTTTCATAAATAACGTCATTTTTGCTCCATCTGTTGTAGGTGTACGGCTTTGTAATTATGACGGAATTTGTGTGACTTGTACTTTCGATAAATGATAGTAATTTTCCAGTATTTATTTCTTCTTTCGACCATATAATTAACACGTCATCTTTGGTCAGCTTTTCTGCACATGATACCGAAGTTTTCAAAATTGTGTCTTGATCAGCATTAGATTTTATGTAAGATTCCACTGTGAAGTGAGATGTTAGATTTTGGAGATAGCCTGCCATATTTCTACCATAATAGTTTGAACAAAAAATTATTTTTTTATTTGAACTAGCAAGATTCAATATTGTCTCATTTCTGTCAGGTCTGATCATTTTAGTTTCCGATATTATAGAAGTTTTTACTACTTCATTGTCAGTTTTACCCATTTTAATTAGTTTGTCTCCGCCAATGGACTGGTCCCTTGTTTGTATATCAGTTGTGGTAGATTTATGACTCATTGAATTGTTTGTTTGTGAACTTGCTGTTTTTGTTTGTTTTAATTTTTTAGTATTCTCTTTTTGCAGAATCCTGATTTTAATTTCCAATTCTTCTATTGTTTTTTTGTGGTTTTCTACTAAAGTGTTCATTTCAGATTCCATATCTATTGCCTGCTGAACAATTGCTTCGTTTTCTTTCTTCAACTTCACAATATGATTACTTTTCAGGTCACTTTCATCAACTAATTCATTGATGGTTTTTTCGAGCAGGGTAGTTTTATCATCATATTCGGCGGTACCCTCATTAATGTTTTTACAACAGATGATCTTGTTATCTTCCACCATAGTCACTTTTTTCTTAAAATTCGTTAATAAACAACTTTTATGAAATACACTGAAACATTTCGTACACACGTAGTGTAGAAAGGGTTTAGTTTTGCAACATTTGAAGCTCATATTCGAGGAGCTCTGAAACCGCGTGCACTCGCCTCCGATGATAATTCACAATATGTGTTCATATAAAAGTGTTTGTTTCGAAAGAATTTTTTTTTCGTGTAATTCAATGTTTATATGAAAGTAGCTGTTTCAGGAGGGCTTTTTCTTCCAGTTTGTGTCTGAAAGTTACTTCTTCACATGATCTACACATCTATGTATAGAGTTACTTCTTTTAAAATTGATTACTTCCTTCCTTTCTTTGGAAAATTCCCACATTCATTTGTATCAAGATGGAGTAGTAGAAAGCCAAAAACTTTCTTTCCCAAAAAAAGAGTCAAAAATAAAGTTAAGTAATCAATCTTATTTCTGAATGATTCGTTCTATTCCATCAATAGGATATAATTGTCAATATAATAATAAGGGTTTCTGAGGTAACTCACTTGAAGTCCCACTCGAATTTTTTTTGTTAGGGCATTCGGTGGAAATACTGCTTGCACCAACGGAACTGCTGCACTAGACACAGTACCCCCATCAGGGCCAATAGCATGCACTTCTTGCCTGATTCGTGAAACAACTGCAAAATAGTGCGGGAAGTCGTTCGTCAAAATTCGTGTTATTCGATTTGTGTGCAAATCTTCGATTTGGCTCAACTCTGGAAAATGACATTTTAAGAAACAAGTTAATCCAGCAATATGCTAAGAGGATACCTTCTCCATCGAAACTGTGATTCAACACATCTTGAATTGCTTCTTCGTTGGCCTCCAAAGTATGTTCTTTCCAAGTTTCTCCATTATCAGATCTCAGCACAATAATTTCTCGCTGTTTGCCCCTCAACGAGGCAAAGTGAGGAACTTCAATGATCACGGGGCTGAAAAATCAATACGTTCAAGGAACTACATTTCTTCACAAAACCTTTCTGCCTCACCCCAAAAACTTGCTACCGACAGGGCCAAGCTCCAGAAGCCTACTGGCTAAAGCTTCGCCTTCCATAAGAGGGGGAGGATGAGGCGTTCTTTGTGGTCTGACATATCGACATGTAATTCTTGTGGGACTAGCAGCACATCGAGGTGGTACGNAATTGTATTAAGCAATCTACACTATGTTACACTGTACATACAACTTACTTCTTCCAATTTGGTATACTGTTGGCAACACAAACAGCAAAACAAAAAATTATATTAATTTTCATAGCAAAAATTACATTTTGGCTGAGTAAACCTCAAGCTTAGTGAACTCAATTTGAGGAAAAAAATATCAACTATAATAAATATCATGGACCTTATGTAGATTGGTTGTATAATAATCTAGTAGGAAGTTATAGTTCTGTTCTCTGTCAGATTCTTGACTTATTTCTATTGTCAGGTTTTACTGATAAACATTTCAAATTATAATCTTAATATAGTCAAATGAAAATAAAAACAATAATAATATCTCTTCGACTGGCATCTAACCAAACATCAGTTTTTTTATTGTTTAATATTCTTGGTGTTCCCTTCTAGGCAGTACTATGTCATATATATTTTAACAGATGGTACTAAGACTGCACAAATATTATAATAATGACTATGAACAAAAAGGAGGTCAAAATCAGTGTGAATATACCTATCTGCAAAATCGTTCAAAATCTATCCAAGAATAATAGAAACGAAATTGAGGCATATGATAGAAAACATTTGAGAAAAATGGAATCTGCAAACAGAAATAACAACAACATACACATCAGAAAGTATCTACAATCTTTGAAAATATTTCAGGAAATAAAAAGTATACATTAAAGAGTAAAAAGAAATAATCCAAATGGGGACAGCTTAAGTGCTTTATTATTTGAAATAATAATAGAAAAAACAAAAAACTTCTGGAAAAAGTGGGTTCATTGATGTATGCTGATGATCTGACCATCATCATAAATAAAATTTAAGAACAATATAAACAAGGATATTACCTAAATGAAGATAGTAAATGAAAAAAATACTAAAAAAATAGAGACAGAAACCAGAAATAAATGATATATCATTAGTTGAATATTAAAAATACAAACAATGTAAGACAGAAATCATAAAATTTGATAGCCATCTTAACAATAACGTATTTATGTAAGGAGAAAAGAATATCATTATTTCAGTGAAAACACGAAAATGAAATAAAACAGCATATTAATCAAGAGTTCACACTAAACAAAATTGGAAAGAATCAAAAGATATTTGATAAAATCAAGATCCAACAAACAAAAAAAAGAAAATTAGGAAATTTGGAGGATAGCAAATAGACTTTACAGAAATTACAGAGAGAGGGAGAGAGAGAGAGAGGGAGGGAGGAAGATAGAGGGAGGATAAGAGAGTTGTAGGAGAGAGAGAGGGCAGAGGGGCGAGAGGGCTGAGAGAGAGGGGAGATGGAGGGAGAGAGAGGAGGGTTGAGAGAGGGAGAGGGGGGGAAAGAAAGAAGAGGTCTGAGAGGGAGAGGGAGGGAGAGATGGATAGAGAGAAAGAGAAGAGGGCTAAGAGAGAGAGAGAGAATAGGGCGAAGAGAGGGAGAGGGAGGGAGAGAAAGAAGAGAGCTGAGAGATGGAGGGAGAGAAAGAAGAGGGCTGAGAGGGAGGAGAGATGAAGGGAGAGAAAGAGAAGAGGGCTGATGGGGAGGAGAAATGGAGGGAGAGAGAGAAGAGGGAGAGAGAGAAAGAGAAGAGGGCTGAGAGAGGGGATGGTGGGTGAGGGAGAGATGGAGAGACATTGAGAGAAGAGGATAGAGAGAGAGTGGGAGAGAAGAGGGCTGAGGGAGATTGAGGGATAGAGAGAGGAGGAGGGGGAGGGAACGGAGAGAAGAGGACTGTAAGAGGGGGGAGAGAATTGGAGCAGTCGGAAACAAAAAAAATGGGAAATCTTTTTTCTGTTCAAGATCCCACTTGCCATATTCGTGTGCTCTGCTTGGTAGCTGAACTTGAAGCTGAAGTCATTATTGTCTAACGTTGCCGAAACGTCGTGATGATGTCGAATACAAACGGATTACACCCGGGATGGCACTTCAGCACATGAATAAAAACGGACGAAACTTTTGAAGCAACCTAATATAGTTGAATAATTTTTCGGGTATATACAGCAAATACTAAAACATTGAAACTCGAAAAATTTACTGGTAATCACGTCTTGTTTACCTACATTACAGTTGAATTAGAGACTCTGAATAAATTTATTTTGATACCCAAATCATATTTTCTGGTTTCTGTAACCATATTTCTGGTTCGATTAGGTTGGGTTTTCTGTAAGCTTTATGTCTACGCCTTTTTGCCGCTTTGTAGTTATCGATCTGCTATTTTCTTAAAGTCCAAAAACCGCGAATTCCACCATTCAAGAAATGTTCGTTTTAGGCTCTCAATACACAATGGATATATCAGCAATGCAGAAAATGTTGTCTGATGATGTGACTGCTGGAAGAACACCTCTAATAGTCATTGCGGATGCCGGTACTCCCGTGAGTGGGCATGTGGATAATATTTCTAGAATAAAGGAACTTTGTAAAGTTNTAACATTTCTTGAGATAGTTTTTATTACCTCTTGTACGTGTTCTTTGAATGTTAAGCCTCTATCAATTAAGACTCCAAGATATTTCGTCGCACTAACGGTTTCTATTTCTATATTATCAATATGGATATTTAAATGTCTGCTTTCAAGTTCATGATATCCCGTTTTATTAGTAAATAACATGAATTTTGATTTATTACCATTTAATTTCAATACATTATAACTACACCACCGACTTATTTTTTGTAGTTCACTATTCATTGTATCTATCAAATGTTCCACATCATGTGCACAGTAATATACAAGTGTGTCATCAGCAAAGAGATGAATTTTACACTTGTCTACCTCATTAACAATATCATTTATATATATTAGGAATAAGAGTGGTCCTAGTGTACTGCCCTGAGGTACTCCGTTGTTATTGACAATTTCACAGGACGTTACATTATTAAGTTTTGTTACTTGTCTTCTACTATTTAGGTAATCTTCAAACCATTTATAGACTGTACCGGATATTCCATAATTTCTCAATTTAAGCAGGAGTCTTTTCCTATTTACTGTCTCAAAGGCTCTTTTCAAATCTAAGTAAACTGCTCCTACATTCATATTTTGATCTGTCCACATTTTCCAGTCAAATAAAACACTTTGGACTGCTGTTTCGCAATTATGCAAATGAAGCAAATGTTGAAAACAAAATGTGGATTTTCCACCGCTCGTTCACTAACCAACTCGCCAAATTGCAAGCGTCGATCGAAATCATCTTCATTCAGTTCTTGCGTTAATTTAATTTTGATAGGATGCAATTTGTTGCTATTAACAATAGTGAAAAAGTTAATTATCGGAAAGAACTCTTTTAAATACGTCCAAATTAAAAAAAAAATTACACCATTGTTTAGAGAATTCCAAGATCTTTCAAACGTTGTGCAACTCGCCCCCTATTCCCTATTAAAATTCCAAGGGTTGTTCACCCCTCTGCTCCGGGGTTGAAGTGGCGACGCTGTAAATGGGGAAAAAACTGTCCCCCTCACAATAAAAATCGACCTGTCTGAGCGTTTTTTGGGATTTGCAAGATTAGTACCCAAAACCTCCATGTCCATTTTTCCCTTCAAATAGGCCAGGCGTACTATGTTGAAAAATAGTGATTTTTCAGAAAAAATCCTTACAGGGTAAACTCAACGGGAATAGGTTGGGAAGGTAGTCAGTAATGTTGGGACAAAAATTCAACAGCTGTATGTTTGCAGGGGCGGAGGAGTGGATGTGAAAAGGGGTGAAAAACGGTTTTTCGCGGTTTGCGGACAAAATAACTGTTTTAGAGAAAAAAGTTGAAGGAGAAAGTTGTAGATAATGGAAAAAACTATAACTTTTGTCTTCATACTTTTTTCACATAACCTCAAAATTTTCGAGTAAAACGCAAAAAACCACTTTTTTCGTTTTTCATTTTTCATTTGACGAAAAAAAGGCGTATCACTNAAGTAACTTGTAGTATTCAAATCACTGTTGAAGAAGCTACTGTGTTAGCAAAACATGTTGTGATATATTTCTCAAATGAAATTTGTGGAGATCAAATCGTAAGCTGTAGTTTATGAAATCAATTAAATGTATTTCCTCTATCACTTTGGAGAGTGACAACGAATATTTATATTTTAGGGATTGGAAGACATTGCTATCGAGGCATCTGAGATAGTAAGCAGGTTAGAACAAGTTGCTGTAGGTTTACCAACGAATGAAAATGGTCAAGGCCAGTCAACAGTTTTTTTGAATCTGGTAATGAAACATTCTGATGAAATAGTTCAAGTAATACAGAGTCTCATCAGCAACGATGATGATAATGAACCTCTGCATTTTCCACATTTAGACAGTGTTACCAAGTTAGTTGTTGTGTCTCATAGTCTAGCAGCTTATTGTGGAGGACTGGAAAGACCAATTTTACAGAAACTGAGCACTAGGTTTACAACAGACGCAACAAGATGGATCAGTCAGTTGTTTGGGTGAGCGAATTTTGTTTTTTCTGTTTATTCACTTGAAATTATTGAATCATTACATTGTCTTTATTCAAACATGTAGTTTAAAGAATTGCTCTGGTAACTGTTGATGGGAGCAAAATATAAATCAAAAATACCTTTTCTTTGATACTGCAATGAAAAATTGAATTTTAGATAGGTAGATAGATAGATAGATATCTTTTATTAGTTCTTTGTAATAAAAAACCTTTTCAGGTGTAGAACATGTGTCAATTACAGTAAACATTACAGAAGTAGTAGAAAATCATAAGGCAATATCATTAATATTGGTTGAGAGTATAAATGGCCACAGATGTATGAATAACACGGTTACTACAGTCAATATACTTGATGTAATATTATTATATTAGATACAGAACACGAACATATTTATATATCTATATGTAGGGTTCAAAAGAGACTAAATTATTTCACAATGCAGAATGATACGACATGAAATATTCAACGCGAACAACATCAGTTTAAATTATCATTGAAGAATTCTTCCAGTGAATAACAAGCTTTGGAGAGAAGCAAAGTTTTCATTTTATTCT